TAGAGACGGGGTTTCACCATGTTGACCAGGATGGTCTTGATCTCTTGACCTCGTGATCCACCCGCCTCGGCCTCCCAAAGTGCTGGGATTACAGGCTTGAGCCACCGCGCCCGGCCGAAACCTTTGTTTTGTTTTATTACTTTTTGTATTTTAAAAATATGGAATGCTTCACAAATTTTCATGTCAACCTTGCTCAGGGGCCATGCTAATCTTCTCAGCATTGTTCCAATTTTAGTATCTGTGCTGCCAAAGCAAGCCCTGTTTTGTTTTGTTTTAAACAAGGAGGCCTGAAATTGGGCTGAAGTTTAAAAAAAAAAATCATACAAAGGAAACAGTAATTATGTTAGCAGAAATAGAGTGGGGAATAGGGTTAGCCTATCACCGGCAATGACCCTAAGAGCTAGAGATCTCTCCCATCCCAAACAGACACACACACACACACACACACACACACACACAGAGAGAGAGAGAGAGAGAGAGAGAGAGAGAGAGAGAGAGAGAGAGAAAGAGAAAGAGAGAGAGAGAGAGAGAGAGAGAACGAACCCTGAGGTATTAATATTCCCGACTGGTACACTGGCCAGACTCTTCCCAGCCAGCTTCCACTTTGCTCTCTCATCCATCTCTACAACTAATTCTTCTACCAAACCCTTCCCTTCTTTCCACCCCAGGGGATTTTGAACTCAGGCACTGAATCCAACAGGCTTCCCGAGGAACTTACAACAGTCTGTTTTACAGAGAGTAAATGCTGCTGAGAGAGAAAATTGTCAGGCCTCGGTGTTCCAGAGCAAGAGACATTCATTCATTCCCAGAGAGACCCTGGGACTCAGCAACCAAGCCACATGAACCCTCCGCTGCCAGAATCCAAGCTCTAGGCCGCGCCTCCCTCACTACTGGGCCTTGGACAGCGAGGCTGCTGCTCAGAACCCCTCTCCTCAGGGGGACAATCCTCAGGGCTGACCCACCTCACCTGCTCCCTCAGTCACTCAAGCCCTCCATCCTCTGTCACAGCCTGGCTCTGTCCCCTCCCATGCCCCATGCCCCAAGCCCCAACCTCCCAGGACCGAGTGTCTCAGGGTTCCTGCCCTCCTCCAACCCTGACTAGCCTGGAAGGCAAGTGGCAAGGATGTGGTCAGCAGGGTGAGCCCTGAGAGCCGGCAGAATGGTGTCCACGATGCAGGGAACAAGAGTGGGGGAGTAGGGAAGGCAAGGGGTACAGGGGTGCCTCTTCCAGGCCACTGCTCCGCAGCTCATTCTCCTCTGAGGTTATTCCCTGACCCATACTCCTCTGGACCCCACCCCAGCTGCTTCCTCTTCTCAGGGGTCTCCACCTGCTGTTCTGTGACCCCCCTGCAAATCATCTTTTGAAAGGCAGCCCGTGTGGTGATTGTAAGCGTGGGTTTAGGGTCAGGAAGCAACCCCGTAGCCAGACTCAATTCCCCTCCAGGCCTCCATCCAGGGCTGCAGAAACAGCTAGCGATGGCTGGCTAAGCGGGCCCCTCTGCAGCTGCCACCTGTGCTTGTGGGTTTGTTTTTCCAGCGTTAGGAAGGGAAGGTGATCTGGGAGACACCAAGCAAAGAGCAGGAGGACCTTTTCTGTCCCCGGAAGTTGAGGAGGGAGATGACCACGCAGAGGCTGGGCCTTCCAGCTCCACCGGCGCCTGACGCCCTCCCTCGCCTGTGACTGCCACCCTGGGAGGCTCTTTAAGGCTCTGTGCACAGCCCCCCTCACAGAGGGGAGGGCGCCTGCCTGTCCTGAATGCCAGGTGCTGGACTCCACAGGACAGGTAGAACAGAGACGACTGCGACCACTCAGCAAGCGCCTGTCCACTTGTGCCACCCTTTTCACAGAATCACCTTCATCCAGTCCCCACAGTCATCTCTTGACATAGGTACTATTCTCATTCTGTAGACAAGGAAACTGCGACTCCAAGAGGGAAGGCGTGTATGCAGATCATACAACTTATTAGGGACAGAGGCAGGACACGGCCCCACAAACACAGGGGGCAGCTGCAAGGGGCCTCTCTTTCCATGCAAGCCGCTGCTTGCTTACCCACTCAATTTCTAGTGATTTCTACAGCCCTGGGATTGAGGCCTGAAAAAGGATTGAGTCTACTATGGTGTTACTTCCTGACAAACTCTGAGAGGGAGTGAGAAGGCCAAGTGAGGGCCTGCACCAGGTACCCCCAGCACCCAGGGAGCCCCTCCTCCCACTCAGCCACCCAGAGGCCGGGTGCTGGTAGGGTCCTCTCGCTTCACAGACCCTGCACCCCAGGCCAGACCCTGCATAAAAAGAGGGATCCACAGTGCTCATATTCCACCAGGCTCAGACATGGTAGCCCCAGGAAGTCACATCCATCTGGGATATTCCCACCTCAGCCTTTTCTGGAACATCTTGTTATGCGCACCCACAACAATATCAGCCATGAGCACTGCCAGGGTCACTGTTCATAAGGAGGCAGGAGGACCCCCAGAGCAAGGGCTTTCTGTGGGCTCACCTGGCATGCTGCATGCCCGGCACTGTCAGTGGACTGGATGGTTGGGGAGGCCCCGGTGGAAGCCGAACAGAATGAATTTTTAGGAAACTCTACCACTCTGGTCCTGGTGTCCCTGGGTTTCATGTTTCAAAGCTGTCTTGGCCTAAACTAGTTCTGTCTCATTTCAGGATCTTCCAAAAGAAATCGTCAAGCAAGGTGCTAAACAGCCAGATCCATTCAGCTCCTGCACTCTGGAGGGCTAGAATGCAGGGTAAATGGACCTGGGGTCCCAGCACCTTTTACCAGCTTCCCTAGCCTGGCCCTTGAGACCCTGCTTGACAAGATCCTGTCCACTGACCAGCCCATCTTGAGTTACCCTGCTTCTCCCTCTGTGCCCTACCTTCAGCGCCTCCAAGCTCCATCTCACCCATATGTGCCCTCTTGCCTGAGGGCCAACCCATTCCTTCCCCCAGCTAGCCCCTACTTCACGTAACACTTTCCCATGTGAATTTCAAAAGCTAAGTGCAAGGATTAGGTTCCTCTGAATTGGTTGAGATCTTTCAGGATTTCTATCCATCCCCCAGTGTCCTGTCTATTTATCTCAATTTATGATGCCCACACTTCTTCCCAATAATCCTGTTGTCTTTCTTGGTGTGGTTGTTGCTCCCTGTAAATTGTCATTAAAGAGGTTGGATAGGAATGAGCCTGCAGCCCATTACTAGAGGCTTCTCTCCTAGAGGCTGACATTGATCTACCCAATGCTAATGGCAGAAGGATTAGCTGGTTTTCTAGTTATTGATTACTATGGAACAAATTACTTCCAACATGGTGATGAAAAATGCCAACCATTTTCTTCTGCTCACAGATTCCTGAGTCCGGATTCTGGACAGAGCACAGCTGAAATGGCTCTTCTCTAGGCCATGTTTAGAGCTTCTGCGGGGAAAAGGAGACAACAGGGATGGGAGAAGGAACTGAAGAGTTATGGGCTGGAATTATCTACAGGCTTCTTCATTCCATATCTGGTCCTACGAAGGACTCAAAGACTGAGCTGAGTGGGAACTGTCACGTGCAGAATGACATGTGGCCTCTCCATAACGCTTGGGTTTCTCATAGCAGGGCAGCTGGGTCCCAAGAGTGAGAATTCCAGGAGAACCACATAGAAGCTGTGGGATCTTTTATGTCCAAGCCTCCGAAGTCACAAAACATTACTTTCTCCATACTCTATTGATCAAAGCAGTCACGAGACTGTCCTGATTCAAGAGGAGGAGCATAGGCCCCACCTCTGGATGGAAGGAATGTCTGACAATTCTACAATAGCCACAGCAGCACTGGACGCCTACACTCAGATGCAGAACCACTTAGGAGTCCCCTTGATTCAGGGCATGGGCCCTACTTGGCAGGCTACTCAATGGCGATAAGTAATCAAGAATAAGCAGTGCTGAGAGGCCTCTGACATTCCTGGAGAGAGGCTGGGGTGTAGGCCAGGCTACCACGATAAGGATTGTCTAACAGAATGAAGGCTCAAAGTGGATACTAGGCCTCCTGAAAAAGGCAGAAGCCCTATTATCACAACTAGAGCATGCAGGATGTCAGACCAGCAGTGTGACAAGATGCCATCACACAGGTTAGCTGAGCACCTTCAGTCCCTCCTCCTGAGATCAGGAGAGCTTGTCAAATGCCCATGCTGATGCATATTCCTGATCCCACAATTTAGACATTACCTTTCAATTGCATTTTTTTTTTTTTTTTTTTGAGATGGAGTTTTGCTCGTGCTGCCCAGGCTGTACTACAATCACACAATCTTGGCTCACCACAACCTCTGCCTCCCCGGCTCATGTGATCCTTCTCAGCCTCCTGAGTAGCTGGGATTACAGACATGCACCACCATGCCTGGCTAATTTTGTATTTTTGTAGAGACGGGGTTTCTCCATGTTGGTCAGGCTGGTCTCAAACCCCCGACCTCAGGTGATCCGCCCACCTCGGCCTCACAAAGTCCTGTGATTACAGGCATGAGCCACCTCGCCTGGCCTCAAATGTGCACCTTTAATCATCTCAGCAAGAAATGTTTCCAGTGATCAACGTGGATCTCACCAAACTGAGAAAGGGGTAGGAAGTACACAAATCAAGAGGAAAACAGGAGAAAGCAAATGGAGGCAGTCATTAGAATTATTCCTGAGTTCCTCTAGAGCTGCTGCTAGAAGGGAGGTGGGATTCCAGGGCCAAGTGGTTCCAGGTGGTCCCAGCCTAACAGCTTTCAGCTCTTCATGAGTGTCCCCTTCAAGGCAAGCCTCACCTCTTTCAGAAAGCAAACGCTTACACTGATTTAGGGTCGCTGGAGGCCATTTTACCTTGGGAGTATCGGGGAGTTGGGAGTTGATATAGGGGCAGTACAGGGCAGAAAGCTCAGAGATGGTCTGGGAAAGAGTGAAAAAAAGTAAAATTTATATTTGGGTGAGGAGTGCAGCTTTTCCTGTGGAAGTGGTGTGCAGTAACCCAGGGCACTATCCCTGCCGTGAGTCATCAACTTCTGGGTCTCTGGCTCAGACAATCCTAGAAGGCCGGAGCTGAGGGATGTCTGTTGCGAGGTCATCTAGTCCAGCTGCATTTGAGCGCAATCACATTTGAGAGATGTGGAAATCGTTGCGAAGTCCATTTGTGCCCACTGAACATCCATGTGCTTTCCTGAATTTCCCAGCCTTCCTTGCAGAAGGAAGGTAATTAATTCTAGCCAATGACACATATCACTTCCAGGCTCAAAACAGTGAAGACAGGGTGTGCCTC